GTAAATATAGCAGTTTCGATGATCCAGTGAACAGCAATGGAAGACAGCAACTTGAAAACACAGTGGGAGGAAACAACCTCGCAGCATTTCAATCTGCTAATGGAAACATGTCCTCTGTCACGACTAGCTGTAGCTGGATTGACATCAAGGGCTACAAAGCATAATTGGAAGTGCAGAGAAGCTGTCAGCAATAATGCTTGCAACCCTAATCTCTTACCTACCATTTCCAAACCAATAATTATTAATTTCAAGATGGACTATTCCCATAATGTTCTTCTAAGCTTGACTGAAGACATCAGTAAATGGTGCATTATTAGAAGGCTCCCCGCCCAATGCTATTCTGGAAATTTGGCCATGGGTGATCATTCACCTTTGGGTGGTCTCTCTTCAAATAACCTGTGTGCATTATTTCCTAGTACAGTGGTACCTTGGGTTAAGTACTTAATTCGTTCCGGAGGGCCATTCTTAACCTGAATCTGTTCTTAACCTGAAGCACCACTTTAGCTAATGGGGCCTCCTGCTGCCGCCGTGCTGCCAGAGCACAATTTCTCTTCTCATCCTGAAGCAAAGTTCTTAACCTGAAGCACTATTTCTGGGTTAGCAGAGTCTGTAACCTGAAACATATGTAACCTGAAGCGTCTGTAACCAGAGATACCACTGTACTGTACTGTACTAACTAGAGGGGGCAAGGAGACAATAATAGATTGATAAGACAAGGAGGGTATATTCAGATTACTTCCTCCAACAGGGGCTGACTTTTTACAATTAAAAATAATAATTGGTACACAGCAGGCAGAAATCAACATTTTGTTGGCATGGAGATGCAGCGTTAAACAAGCTTCAGCTGGTTGAATTTCTGATTGTCAAACAGCTGTTAAAGGCACAGAACCCCCCCACCCCAGCCTGCAAGAGACTCAAGGTCAACTCTTCCTTTAAAAAGAGGGTCTCCCATGCATCAACCCATATCTGCAAGGTATATGAAAATTCCCAAACACTTCGCAAACCAAGCAGAGGCCAGTTTAAAACAAGTATGCTATGATTCTCCCACACAGATACCAGAAGGAGGAAGGGGGAGGAAATCAAGGGTGTGAGCTAATCTGGTGTTGAACATTATTTTTAGACTCTGAGTGTGGTGACCACCTAGAAAATATGTCGAGCTGGATCTATTTGCATTCTAAATGCATATTCTGGAGAGCACCCCTGCCTTAAGAGGGTCTCTCATGCAGCTTAACAGAGGGGAGCAAATGTGTGCTTGTAGCTGCCCTTCCATTTAACAGGCTTTCCCAAACTTGGCCCTCCAGCTGTTTTGGGACTACAACTCCCATCATCCCTAATTAGCAGGACCAGTGGTCAGGGATGATGGGAACTGTAGTCCCAAAACAGTTGAGGACCCAAGTTTGGGACACCACAATTTACAGGAATTGGGGAGGTTTGTCTGCATGCCACTTCAAAACCCTGGCACCAATCCACACAGACATGGGCACCACTTGAAGACACATGACTTGCATTTTGAACGTGTGAATGACCCCCGTTGAAAAGGAATGTGTTTCAGGGTGTGTGAAAACTCTGCCTTGGGTATGGTTTTGTGATGGCTTCTTAGCGTGTGTTGCAAGCAGTGAATGATAAACATGTGGTGGGAACATGGACCTCCACCTTCTCTTGGTCTTCCTAGCTGTATCTGCTTTCCTCACTTTGCTAGGACTTTATTCGTTTGCAAAAATACCGAAATGTGGGAGCATGCTAAGTACGTGTAAAATAAATGGGCAGAATAATGAGCTCCAAAGGGGCTAGAAACTTGCTTTTGTTAACAAGAAGATTAAAAGTTGGGAGTTCAGGGATTGTGGTTCACCTAGGAGAGCAATTTCTCCCCCTGGTAGACCAGTAGTGGATCAGCAGCTCCCCACCCCAATGTGCCAGGGGCCAGAAGTATATTTGGACCTTTAAGCATCTCATCCAACCTGAGCTGTGGAAGAATCATTGGGGACCAGCAGCTGATGGCCCACAGAATAGCACCAGTCCATGGACCACCACTTTGAGTAGCACCATAATAGATGACACCATATGTGAACTGAGTGATTTTACCCAGTTACTAAACAGATGCTCTTGTATTTACATGTCCTACCGGTATTTTACACATTCTTCTGATTTTCTCCCCTGGCAAGTTAAATACCAGGATTTTCTACCGACTGAACACTGAAACTATTTCATATCTGCCCTCACACCCATTTTAGTTTTCAAATATAATAATAATAATAATAATAATAATAATAATAATAATAATAATTTATTTATACCCCGCCCATCTGGCTGGGTTTCCCCAGCCACTCTGGGCAGCTCCCAAAAGAATATTAAAAACACGATAAAACAGCAAACATAAAAAATTTCCCAATATAGGGCTGCCTTCAGATGTCTTCTAAAGGTTGTCTAGTTATTTATCTCCTTGACATCTGATGGGAGGGCGTTCCACAGTGAGGGAGTTCCACAAGCCCTCTGCCTGGTTCTGGTTCCCTGTAACCTCACTTCTCACAGGGAGGGAACCGCACTGGACTGAACAATGGGTTGAACGATGGGTGTGGAGACGCTCCTTCAGGTATGCTGAAGAAAGATTTTCTTTCTTTCTTTCAGCATTTTGCCAAAAGTTATCCATTACCCATTTCACATTTTTTCCCCAAAGGCTGAATTTTTAAAAAGATTCCTGAAGGCTAAGAGTTTCTCATGTAAAAAATTATATTTGTGAAAAATAAAGATACAGGGAGCTCACAGAGAGAAGAGGATGGAGCCTATATGAGAGGCAGGTTTTTTCTCAGGGTGGGAGACCGAGGAAGGCAAAACTCTCTTGGGTGGGGAGTGGGAGAATTCAACTCTCTGAATTTGTGAAGGTAAAATAGTGACCAAGGGCTACATAGATATATTTATAATTTTGTGTTTTATGAGAATCATATGAAGGTTATTATTAATGCATTGAACTTTCTTTTTCTCTGTTTAATATACTGTTTATTATTTTCCTTTTTAGTTTAGTTTGAATTTTATGGTATATTAGGTTGAAAACCTTTAATAAAATTGTTTTTGTTGTTGTTTTTTAAAGAGAGTTTCTGATGCCTGCTAAGAAAAAATGTATTTAGGCTAGCCTTCCTGAATGTGTGATTTTATTTGTTTTTAACTTGAAGATTTATTATTATTATTAAGCAGCATATAAACACAGTTAAATAAATAAAACACTGGGCTAACTCATTTGATCTTGAGGCAGTGCAGACAGAGGGAAAATGAGCTGCTTAAGAGGGCCACTTACCCTATTAAATGACACAACCCCATTAGCTTAACAGATCTTTGAATAAGACTGGATCACCATAGTCAGCTCCTTAATTAGCAAGAAAGAAACAGCTTTGTGCTAATTTTGCAACCTGTGAAAGGGCTTTTTGCTTGTTAGGCTCTAAAAACCAACAGTCCAGGAGGCAGCAGAATCCACAAGAGTTTGTCTTGTGAGCCGCAAAATTTCAGTCACCCAAAGGGAAACATAAAGGTACAATTATGAGGGATCTAGTTAAGGGATTAATTTCTAGGAGTGCAACTGGATTGTTCCAGTAGCAGTGCTATTAGGTTTCAAGCAGCATGTGCTAAAAAGAACACCCACCCCCCTCAAAAAAAGATCTTTGTAGCAGGAAAGAAAGAAGCCTTCACCAGTTATTGCCTTTCAAGGCTGCAATAACCTTATTGATTCCTATGAAGTGACAGACTGAAGTTTCTTTCTGCATCACTATAGACTTATATCCACTGACTGTATTTGACAGATAATAAAGGCAGAGATTTTTATTTTTAACAAAGATCTGGTTCAGTAAACAATTCCCTGAATAGCTTAAGTTTATGGTCACCCTCCAGATAAGGTTTAAAAATGAAATATTTTTAAAAAAGCAATCTTAAATTTTTACTGATGTGACTTTTTTATTTTTAATCCCATTAATAAGAAAGCCTTATAAAGATCTCCAGTGGCACTGAAACTTTACTTAAAAATGGGAAATTCAAATCCAAGGAGCTGCCATATCTAGAAATTAATTTTAATACCTTGCATATGGAAGAATTGCAAATTTAGAGCATGATCATTCTCTTACTGTTGCTTTCTTCAAAGAAATAAAATTCAACAAAATATAATTTAATCAACTAACCAACCTAAGGCATGATCCAGCCAAAGTTAAACATCTTACAAGTTTTGTTTCAGGGGGAAACATTTAACATGCGCTGAACTCCCCATGTTGCGATAAATGGAATTATTTTTATTTATTTATACCCCTTTTCCCCTGACAGAGACTCAATGCTTATCTTAATGCTCAATTCACAATGCTTAACTTTGCCTGGCTGAGTCAGCAATCCAATTTCTTGCTCTCCTGAATAATCTAGTTCCTTGTTTTGCAAGTGGCCAGGAAGCCATGTAGAGGGCATGAATATAATCAATCATTTGGGAAAACCAATACCCAACACACTCCCCTCTCCCCACACACTATGGCTGACATATTATTTCTAAGCTAAAGGCCATTATGTTTGATGTGCAGGGAGATAAAGGTAAAGGAACCCCTGACCATTAGGTCCAGCCATGACCGACTCTGGGGTTGCAGTGCTCATCTCGCTATATTGGCCGAGGGATCCAGCGTACAGCTTCCGGGTCATGTGGCCAGCATGACTAAGCCTCTTCTGGAGAACCAGAGCAGCGCACGGAAACACCATTTACCTTCCCGCCAGAGTGGTACCTATTTATCTACTTGCACTTTGAGGTGCTTTCGAACTGCTAGGTTGGCAGGAGCAGGGACCGAGCAACGGGAGCTCACCCCGTCGCGGGAATTCGAACCGCCGACCTTCTGATCAGCAAGTCCTAGGCTCTGTGGTTTAACCCACAGCGCCACCCGTGTCCCGGTGTGCAGGGAACCTTCCCCAAATCCTTGTTATACCCTTAGAGAAGTGGTTCACTGCCCTCTCCAAGTGTCCTAGCTGGCGATGACTAGGCTATGCAGGCCAGCGGTGGTGGCCAGATCTTGCACCCATAAAGCATGAGACTTGTAATCTCAGGGTTGTGGGTTTGAGCCCCACATTGGGCAAAAGATTCCTGCACTACAGAGGGTTGGACTAGATGAGCCTTGCGGTCCCTTCCAGCTCTACCATTCTACGATTCTATGATCCATTGCAACATTACTCCCAATTAATTAAGCACTTTCCTTCCACCCCCATGGAATGAATTGTAGCAATCCATTATATCAATGAGTGGCTTTTTGCTGCTGCTTCTTTTTTTTGCAGAGGTTGCAGTTTGTATCATCAACATCTTTGTGCCATTTATTGGCCACACACACACCAACAAACCTGTGGACAAAATGTTGCGGTATATGTTAGAAGTGGGGAATCTGTGACCCTCCAGATAGGGATGGACTCCAACTCATCCCTAGTCAGTATGACCAATAGTCAAGGATGAGCAGTTGTAGTTTAGCAACACCTGGAGGACCTTATTGTTGATATAGTGACTGGGTCAACCCAGTCAGATGGGCAACATATAAATTATTATAATTATTATATTGAGCAATATCAGAGTCATACTCAGAGTAGACCCACTGAAACCAATAGACTTAACTTCTATAGCAACACTGATTTCAATGGGTGTAACTCTGAGTATGCTTCCCATTGAATATCACCCACCATATTTAATGGGGTTAAAATCCAGCCTGCAAAAATTGTAATACACCAAGGTGAATGAATATATTGTAGCTTCCAAGATGCCTGACAGCTTCATTGCTTTTTATACAGCTCCTGATAGGATGCCACCATGCACAGCCAGAGGACTTTGTCTGGCTAAGCGAGTCACAAATTGTGCAGGCCAAGGCTAAATGAAGAGATATAGTCCCATTTCAATGCAACTGCTGCATTGCTGCCATCTTGCAATCTCTTTCTTAGCTGAAGTACAGGGATTTGGTCATAAAATGCTCACAGCATTCAAACATGTGCTTAACTTCTAAGAGTATGGAAATCTAACTTAACACAAACCAGGGTATCCCGATTTCTATTGAATTAGTGCCAATGGGGTAAAAGTTAAGCCACTGGAACCAGATCAACTTGTCTGGATGTGGAACAGAGTCAGGCTGACGGCTCAGTCAAGTCTGTTGCTTTTTTATTATACGTTGAAAGTTGAGCATGAGCAGAATGGCTTCTCCAACAAACGAGCTGTAACGCTAACTGTGCACAGGCTCAGGAGAGACAAAACACGGTGCATAGTTCGAATTATGGTGGATACGTAGTTCAGCTACGGTGTTTGCTCCTGCAAGTCGTAGAGATGGCCATCAATTTGGATGGCTTTAAAAGAGGACCAGACAAATTCCTGGAAGATAATGGTCACTAGCCATGATGACTGCATTTATCTCCTGCATCGGAGGTCGTATGCCTCTGATTACCACATGCAGGGGATTTTAAGAGAGAGAATGCTGCCGCAGTCACATCCCATAGACATCTGGTTGGCCACTATGGGTATAGCATGCTACATTAAATGGATGTTTTGCCTCATCCAGCTGGGCTCTTCTCATGTTCTTCAATATATGGGAGGCATTTTTAACTGAGGCTGCAACACACATGAAGGAGAGGATTAACTCTTCCCTCCCCTGCCATGGTCTTGACAAAGTTTGCCCCAGGTGCTACGATTTACCATAGGGACCCCTTCACTTTCTCCCCTAAGGCTAATTACAACATGGGTGGCAATTATTTTTCAGGGCTGCAGCTTGGAAGAGAAGGGTTACACCTCCACTTCCTGCACCCTGCGGTTCTGGTGAAAATTGTCGTTTCCCCCTCCCCACACCTAGTATTATAATTTTAGAAACAACCACCCAGATGTGGGTGGTAATCACACACAAAGTAATGTCTAGTTTGACCCAAAGTCAGGGCTCATCCACACTTGCATAGTCCCATTCCTAGAAAGTACAGGGCTGAGCAGTTTTCCATTTGCCCCATTGCTTCCCTCTGAAAAGCCTTCTTCTTTAGCAAAGAATCAGAGCAAGCATCAAACCACAGAAAACCTTTCTGCTGTTTTCTCCGATTCAGCAGTAAAGAGCAGTTTCCTATTCAGCTTTTTCCAGGGGAAAGTGATGGGACAAGCAAAATTGTGGACAAGCCTCCCTTCTCACGTGTTTTCAAAAAGTAAGCAATGTTGGGTACAATAGCACAAACTCCTAAGTAAGTGGGGATAGAACTGCAGGCTGCTTCCACACCATACATTTAAAACATATGACTTCCCCCCAAGAATCATGGGAACTCACCAAACTACAGTTCCGAGCTCCCTTACCAACTCCCAGGATTCCTTGAGGGAAGTCCTGTGCTTTAAGTCATAGTCTCATTCCAGCCATATGCCACAGGGTCAAATAAGTCAGTTGTGGGAATCATCCTGCAAATCTGTTCCATGACAAAGACAGGAGCCAAAGGGATGCTTGGCAAACTTGTGGCACATTTCCCATTGTATTTTTTGCCATGTGATGAGTGACTTTCAGGGGAACTCTCATGAATGCACGGCTCTATGTAAGCAATAATTATGTTATATAACCCCAAAATGACCACAAAGAAGGTCAAGCATGCCATCCTACAAAAGTATTCCCTTCTCTGCATTTAAACAGTACAATATGCAATGGGCACCCAATATTCCTTCTATCTGCAATTCAAGACTTAGCACGCTGAAACCAAAGTTTCCAAATCTGTGCCACCCACACAGAAGAGGGAGGTGGCAAGCAGCAGACATGGGGCAACCCCATGTTTTTGTTGAGGTAAAAAAATATTTATGGGATAAACCCAATGAAGGGCATGAAATGCTGATTGATTGATTGATAAAGGTGAGTGGTTGTGGAATGGAGTGGCTGAGACAGAAAGATGGAAGAAAAGACACATATATAACATTAGAACCACTTAATTGTCTGGATGGGTTACTTCCGAGTGCTGAGCTAGTTTTTAAAATGTCCTCAGGAATGGAAGTGAGAGCCACCTATAGAAATCAAGACAGAAATCCAATGTTATAATGCAGCTGGGATGGACCAATGTGTTCATACCACCCCCCTCAAAAAATAAGAACTAAGGGCTAGCCCCACACAAAAAAGGCCAGTGACAACTGAGCACGCTCAGTGGACATGAAATGCTCTTGAGGAGGGGGGTAAAAAGTCTGGAACTTTCCACCATATCAATATCTTTTTGTAGGGTTCTACTTGTATATAGCAATCTTAATTATCCTTGTCCCATTGTTTATGTAGCCAAAATGGTACCATTCACACATGAAAAGGAGGGGTATGAGCAGACTTGGGTTTGCAGAAGCACAAACACTCTTTCATAGAAAAGTCTTCAGAGGTGGACCCCCCCCCCAAAAAAAAAACTGCAAAATGGGGACTGAGCCATGCTCAGTGGGCATGGAATGCTGATTGACTTGTGTACACAATGAGATAAAACTGTGTAGAAGAGGGAACATAATGGAAGGAAGGGAACCCTGAACAGAAGCATTCCGCAATATATCACAGGTGGCATCCAACATAGAGTCAAGTAACTTCTTGCACAAGCAGAATGACTTCATCTTTTGTAGTGGGACATACCCCCTTCTCCTCCTTCCATAAGCTTGATAAATTTGTCCCAATGGTTCCCCCAACCATCTGGAACAGATCTGGAGACATTACAGGGAATGCACAGGAGGAAGAGAGGGGCAAAGTCCCGTTGTGCAAGCAAAAGTTGTTCCACTTAAGGGAGGAAACTAAACTAAATGGTTTTATCAGAATAAGCAGAGATTATGGGGAAACTGAAAGAACCATAGGAGGGGAAAGAAAGAAAGTCGGTGAATGTATTATTACAATGGTGGATATTCGATGCTGGAAATGCACATTTGAAAACTTTAATTAAAAAGGGGGGAGGAGTTTGGCACAGCTCGTTGATGCAGGTCCCACTTGTTCAAAATTGCTAGCAGGCTGTGATCCACATCACCACATAAGACAGCATGCATGAAATGCACAATACACGCTTCTGATCCTCGCCACATTTACACAAACGTTCTTTCCAGCAATTACTTAGAAGCTCCATCAGAAGATTCCTAGGGCTGAAAGCTGAAATCCTATGAACTTAGCTGGAAAACAGCCTAACAAACAGCAAACCCCTATTGGAAAAATGACAGGCATCTCAATATACCGGTGTGTGGTACTGCAGCAACCTCATGCAACCATACAGATATTTCTACTCAGAGGGCGGAAGGTACTAGACCGCTACAAAGCTGCAACAGTTCAGTAACTCACAGCATGCATGCTTTCTGTTTCAAAGCCACCTGAGGGATGTAGCTCAGAACATCTGCTGTGCATGCAGATGGCAATCTCCAGCTGGTTCAACAGGGCGATGCCCATCTGAAAACCTGGGGAGCTGTGGCTGTCCCAGTAGACAACACTGAGATACACAGACCAGGGATCCTGCTCAGTAAAAGAGACACCTTCCTATCTTCCTAAAATGATATGGAATGGGAAGGCTTCTGCTGATCTTTATCATAAGATCATTGCTGTCCCCCTGTGGCTGTCATAGAGTTCGATGGTGAAGCTTGCCAGCTATCTAGTCTAATATCCTGCTTGATTCAGGAAAGCAAGAAGCACAGCATTCCAGCAGATATCTGTCTCTCCTCTGTGACATGCAGAAATACTTCTCAGAATACTTCAGTTTCTGAAGCTATTTAAGCACATAACAGTTATCCCAGGACATAGCTGGCTCAACCTCAGTCGATGACAGTCACACATTAATGGGGGCAGGAGATAAGGAGTTTTCCCGTCTTCAAGTTTTTGCACACTCATCAGGGAGCAAGGCCTGGTTCACATGTGCACACTCAGGCAGAAGGTGGCTGAATCCAGTGACAATTGCATGTGTGAGGAGCTGTCGCAGAAAGAATGCCAAAATAAAACACAGATCTATTGCCAAAAATAAGATATTAGTATCACCTCAAACACAGTGCTTTGATAGTCCTTTCATGTACTCCGTTGCCAAATGTAGTTCACATGTCGGCTAAGTAACCGGTGCATCTCTGCTCACTCAAAATTGAAAAACATTTGTGTTTTTCAAACAGCGACACATTTTCGTATCTGCAATGGCTCATTCGCCCATGCAAGTCAATTGTGTGTTGCTGTTATGAAGCCACACGCGTGTATGAATCAACAGCTCTGCCCCATTTAACTCCGTGGGATGTGCGGAGGTCAAAAGCTTTTAAAAAACTCCCACTCTTAGTTTTCTTTTAACAACTTCATCAGACTATATGAAAACCACTTACGCAGACGGCATTAGAGTAATTGTAACCTCTCCCAACAGATGCTCAGTGCTGACCTCCCCCCTCCCCAGCACATCCACTGTTCACTTCTATAACAACAGTCCAGGAAGCTAGCCATTGGGCAACCAATGATACAGTGTTGAAATAAGACTTCCTAGGATGCTTGTCAGTATCAAAAAACCCCCAAGCAATATTGCATAAAAGAGGGAGTGATTGGATTCAGGAATTTCAATGTTCTCTTCTCTGCTCTGTTTGAGAGAGAGAGTGTGTGTGCATTACTATTATCTTCAAAAATAAAATAAAATACTATCATCCACAATAGATTTTATACCTACAAAATATGCAGGTTGGTACTGAATACAATTGGAATGTATGGGACACTGGATTGCAGAATATTTTATTATCTTTACATTCCCGGCTTCCTTGTCCGCACCAGAGTGTAATGCTAAACAAACCGTAATAAGGATTTGACAGGGAAACAAATGAATAAGCTTTCCCTCTAGTGTTGGGATACATTTCCCAGCCTTATAAATGTAACCAAATCAGGTTTGTATACACTGGGTTTGACTTTTGAGCAAACTCAGCCCCAATCTATTTACAGCTTTGTCAACGTGGAACTATAAATAATGAACAGCTATTGTCTGAAATGTACTCACCTCCCTCTGCCTCCCTGTAGAGTATTCTTGTGCAGGCAGAGAAGAATATAGCAACACACAGTGCTAGTACTGTAGTTGTACAATGGCTGGGTAATATGCAGGAGATCAAAGCTGCAGAGGTCCACAAACCCCTTAAGCATAGAAGGCAGAGGACTAACCAGCAGAAATCGTGGAAGTTCTCCCACTTGGAGCAATGTGCATCAAGTACTGCAGTACATATTTTTCTTTCAAGAATGGATCTGGCCTCCAGAAAAGCAGGCAAGTCACCAGCTCCCAACTCCTGACACTCAACAGAAAAAGGTCAGTGCTAAGTATTGCAGAGGGCAGCATTAGTGTACAGGGAACACTGCAGAAGCAGATCTGCAAAATTATTCGCACAGGTAACTAATTGTGCAGAGGGACTGCAACCGTGCATTGCAGTCCTATGCATGCTGATTCAGTGGCCCCATTGAACACAATGGGGCTTAGTCACAGGAAAGGGCACATAGGCTTGCCAAAAGTATTTTAACACCCTCACTTTCAGTGATGAGAGGGAGGCATCAACATTTATGCAGAATCCTGTCATCACAAAACCAGTTGCAGTTTAAGGCCCTGGGTACATCATTATTTTAAAAAGTCACACACAAACACTCTACAGTGTGTACTCTAAACATCTGTGGGAACTTTGTTCCTTTACCCAAATCTATGCCGCTTTATTTCATTTCTCACTTGATTATGGGCTCTCTCTTTTTGGGTACCAATCCAAGGCTCAAATCCTATGCACACTTACCTAGAAGCAATTCCCATTGGGGCTTCCTTCTAGTAGACATGTCTAGGATTGCACTGTGAACCTTGCTTCTATTGAAACTGTGGGTGATGGTTAAAACTAGATTACCTGCAGGCTCTTTCCATCCTGTAGTTGCTGGGCTCCCATCAGCCACAACCAGTGGTCAAGTTTGCTAAGAGTTCTAACCTAACCACATCTGGAAAGCATGACATTGGCTATCTCTGTTGGAGAGGGGGAAGGCATGCAAGGGCCTCATTATAAAAACCCTTTAGACTCCCTGAAGGCCACCTGTAGAACATAAAAATGGCCCCACTGGATTGAGCCAAAAGCTCATCTAATCCAGAATTCTGTTCTTACAATGGCCAGGCAGAAGCATGAGATGTCAACATGCAGGATATGACCACAGTAGTGGACTCTCAACTTACAATTACCAGCATCTGGTATTCTGATGCACCTTGTCTCCATCCCTGAAGGTAGACCATTGAGAGCCAGTGTGGTGCACTGGTCAGAGCATTGGACTAGGATCTGGGAGAACAGGGTTCAAATCCCCACTCACTAGATGACCTTGGGCCAGTCACTGTCTCTCAGCCTAACCAATCTCATGAGTTATTGTGGAGGTTAATGGAGGAGGGAGAGAATCGCTCACACTTTGAGCTCCTTGTGGGCAATAAAGAAACAATAATAGCCTCATTCTTCATTAAAGCATCCTCCCACAGCCTCTTCAAACCAGTAAGTGGAATGGGGTGGATCCTAAAAAGGTAAAGACATTGAGCTGGTTTCTCTCTGCTCCTCTTCCTTCCCTGTAATTGTAGCACTGGTTGTATGGCTGGCCACCAAGGAAGAACTACAGCGTTCAGCATGAAACTCAACCCTCGCTCCTTCCCTGCTTGGTCCAATAATCTGACACAGAATGACACCCTTGAAGATCATACTAATTAAACTGGAGTAAATACCACCACTTGGCTCTGTACTCTCACAGTCATTAACACAAATTAGAATCTCTACTTCACCCATGAGCATCCACTAAAAGCAGGAAAGGAAGGGTAGAATTACACCCCCCCCCCTTTTAAAAGCAAAACACCAGTAACTATAGGGTGGTTGATGGTGTTAAAGAGGGTTGAACAAAGGTTAAATAGAAAGTCCCACTGAGTTTGAACCCGGGCTTAGTCACAGATGATTTGAGCATAGGATGACAGCCATACAGTGCATATTTGCATATGCTTACTCAGAAGTAAGTCCCACTGTGTTCAATGAGACTATGCACACTTCAGAGCAAATCCCAGTGAGCTCAATGGGGGTTTACTCCTGAGTAAACGCACCATGCCCAGAACCGCTGTCAAATCACCTTGGAGGAAAAAACCACACACACACCTTGAGTCAACCATCAAACCCTAAGAAATCAGCTAAGATAACCAAGGACTCCAGCATTTGCTTATCAATAATAAAATAAGTATATATATAAAAAATCTCAGCCACTCTTCTTATGGATTAAAGTCATGAACGCTTTTTTTAAAAAAGGGGGAGAAAAATCAATTTGAAATTTTATTAAGCACGCTGGGAGCTATGATCAACATCGATAGCCAGGAGTGACTTTGTCCGCATACTTTTGCTAACTGCATCGCTCCTCCCTCCCACCCCCCGCCCGCTTTTCCGCCGCCCGCATCCTCGTCTTCGATGGGTATCACTAGTGTGATCGTGTCAGTCGGAGGCGAACCGAGCACTGGCCAATGAGAGCCGGAGGAGCGGCGCTGGTTTCGCTGGGAATGTTGCCATGGTTTTCCCCCTCGATGGAACAGAACGGAAAGGGAAAGTGGGGCGGGGGAGAGCGAGAGAGAAAGAGGGCGGCCACCCACGTGGCGGGGGGACGAGTCCGGGTGGGGCACGCCGGCCGGACCAGAGCTGGCCTCTCCCTGCTGTGACCCCCACCCACCCAGGCGCCCCCTTTTCACTCTTTGCCATCCACGATGGCCAGCTCTTTGATCACTCTCAGTTTGCCGCTGGCGTCGATCCTGCGCTTCTCCCTGATTAGGTCCTCGAGGCTCTGGAAGCGCAACGTGTGCACCTGGTTGTCGGCCAGGTGGATCTTGAGATAGTACTGCTGCTCCCGGGGCTGGGAGCCCGAGGGCGGCTGGAGCTCGCCGCCGGCTTTGAACTCCCGTTTGCCGAAGCGGCACCAGGCGGCGAAGCTCTCCGAGTTCGTCCAGCAGATCTCGTGGCTCTTTAAGCCCAGGTGGCCGCAGGCGTTCTGCACCACCAGCTCCGCCACCAGGGGGCGGTAGCGGTACCAGCTACTCACCACCCGGCCCACGTTGCCAGCGGCCGCCTCGTACAAGCTGTCCTGGCGAATCTGGCCCTGGTGCAAGTGGATGATCTGCCCGCTGCCCACATAGACTGCCCAGTGTGGCGGAGGAGGAGGGTGGTCGGACGGCCCCAGGTACAGCAGCTCCAGCAGGTCGCCCGGCTTGCACAAGGCAGGCAGGGCCGCCACCGGGTAGACGCTCAAATCCCCAGCCTGGGGGTCTCCGCTCACCTTGGAGAAGATGCATTCCTGGCCGCGGAAGGCGGAGAACTGGGTCTCGCTCAGCACCAGCTGCGGAGGGTGGTGGTGGTGATGGTGGTGGTGGGGATGATGGTGGTGGGTGGGGGTCTCTTGGACGGGGCTGCTGGAGCCTTTCACGCTGTACTTGTCCGGCTGCCCTCCTCGCTCGTCCAGGTCCTCTTCCTCATCCGAGAAGAAGTAAGCCACCCCGACGCGCAGCTCGTCCTTCTCGATGCCAGAGGGGTCCCCGGTCGGCAGCTCGCTGTAATTCAGGTGCGTGATGCGATCCAGTTGATTTCCCATCAATGACAGGGCGAGGCGAGAGCAAGAATCGCCGGATCTGAGCGAGAGGGGAGGGAAAGAGAGAGAGGGAAAGAGAGGAGTGAGAAAGAAGAGTCCGCGCAAGCAGCCCGCGCAGCAAAACGTCAGGCGCGCACGCCGAAAGGGATCAGATGAGGTCGCTTCTCCTCCGCGCCTCTGCTTCGTCGAGAAGAGACGCCGCTCCCTTTCTCTCGCTTCTTTTTTCCCTAACACACCCACCCGCCTGCCTGCCTGCTTCAGCCGCTGCAGGCCTCTCGGAGCGCGCACGAGCCGCTCCCGGGCCCCCCGAGGTGGCTCGCAGCAGCTACCCCGCTGCCTGGGCTACCCCGCAGCCTGCAGCCGCGCGCTCGATCCTACGGATCCCCGCGGCGGTGCGCAAAGGCAGGGCTGCTCGGGACAGCGATCGCAGAAGAAACAGCCAGGCGGGGAGTGCAGGGCACGGAGAGTTGCTTCCCCTTTGTCTCCGGCGCTCCTTTCCCCGCCTCTCGCTTCACTCCTCCGAGGAAGCTTGGCAGCCTTCTCGCTTTCAGTTGCAACAATGTGCCGCTCCGGAGCGGGAGAGGCAGTGGCGCTGCCCTTTCCCCCCTTGACCCCAAGCGATGCCTCGGCCGTGACCTTCCAAGCAGCTTAGCCCCGACGGGGCGGATGCTGGGGAGGAAAAAATAAAGAAAAAAGAAATCCTTCCGTCTGCGGTGCTCGCCCTCTGCGTACCCGGAATCGCCCAGATCCTGCCAAAGCCCCCGAACTCCTTTAAAGTCCTCTGGTCGCCATGGGGGCTGCCGCTGCGGACGACGAGGAGTCGCGCCAGGTCTTCCTCCTCCTGGGCACCCGCCGTCCAAGGGTCCCGACTGGCATGCGCGCCCGCTCTCCCTCCTGCGCCCTTTCCCCTGTCCGGTCCTTCTCGGCTCTGGTCTCCCTTCGGCAGCACCGGCGAGTCTAAAGTAGCAGCGGCTCCGGATACCAAGGCCCGCCCTTGGCCGTGCTCATTGGCTGCTAGGCTCCGCGCGTGGAAAAGTCGAGCCATCCTCCGGAGTGTCAATCATCCGCGCGGCAAGGGTGGGATGCCAGACGCCCGCCGTCTGCTCGCCTTCTGCAGCAGCAGCAGCAGCAGCAGCAGCAGCGAAGCCCCCGGCTGCCCGCCTGGATCTTTGCGCGCCCGGCTAGGGAGGTGAGGGGCTGGCGGGCCTAGTGGTGGCAGCGGCGTGTGGCGAGCCGCTTGTGCTGAGAAGGAAAGCCCCAGCCTCCGCCCCGCCTCCCTCGCCCCTACGCGGTATCCTCCTAAATAATGGATCTGCGCAATGTCACGACTTGCAGACGCTTGGTTATCAGCCGTTGTGATTTTCCTCCCTCTTTATCATCGATGCTTAGATTTGGGGAATGGAGGATCTTTTTCTGTGAAACACCTGACACAAAAATTCAAACCCGCAACCAGCTGTTAAATCAGCAAAGGGAAAGCTAATTCCCTATGTGCGTTTGCCATAATGTGTACATTAAATTTAAATGAATGCATCTTTGGGAGGAAGTAGGACGTTTATTGCCCCCATGAGAAAAGCTGTTGGGGGCTCCTAGAAAGTGTGTCAGAGGTTAGGGGGTTGTAAACCCCAGTTGCTGCAGAGACAGCATCCTGGTGCCAGTTCACCATAGGAATGGGAGAAGTGGACAGTAAGGGTTATAACCCTGGTACATCTCATGCCATTGCAGAATTCTGTTGGTGTACCCATTGCACTTTACTTCTGGCAATTGTGTTGTATCCACAGTTTTCTGAGGATAAACATTGGAGACGGGGGATCACAGTTTTGCCCCACTGAATGTGGCAGGGTTGCTCAGTTACTGTGGGGAAATATCTCTGAGGAAGGGAACAGTGGCACTGAGCCCTAGCACATGTTCCTCATTCGCTTCTGCAGAGAGTCTTCTTAGGCAGCCATAGCTTAGTGGGGACGCCCAAGCTTTGTTTGCTGAAAGCTCCAGGTTCCCTCCATGGAATCTCCAGAGATGGGGAATACTCCTATCTGAAACCTACAGAGTCACTGCCAGTCAGGGTAGGTAATGCTGAGCTGTGTAGGAAGCCTTGTCACTTCTGCTGATCCTTTGGCCTGAACTTTCAGTCCTCACCTGAACCAAAGTTGCATCTGCTCACATCCAGCCTCCGCTGTCCTTAACCATCACTTCCCTGCTTGTTTGTCTCTGCTTGCTCACCATCGTATTTCTGTTGTAAGCTTCTTGGGGCAGGGACCATATTGCACCAGATACATTGGTTGCACAACAAAAAAACTATGGTATCCACGTGTGCTCATCTGCTGGGCCTGTAAGGGATCTGTGCATTACGCCATGTGCTTTGTGGAACAGCCTTGAAGAAGTGAAAGGAATCTTGGTGAGGCCATTCCGATGCCAGTGGACTGCCTGTGGCTGCAATCTTCACACCGCTTTCTTTGGATCACCCTCTCCCTCCCTTTGAAACAGATTAAGCTTCCCTATGGGGGCAAATCCTTTGAGGACCTCGGCATGTGTGGCGCCTCATTTTGCAATTAGTTCCATGTGTCAATTGTTCTCTCTCTCGTGGCTTTCAGTGGATGGAATGCCTTTGTATGTACTGCTGGCATCTCATCAGGCACTTGCTTCGTTTAGATTACTGTTTTAATTAACTCTGGAACACAAGTGCTGTCGGTTCATCCCTGGCACCCAGAGCTGCCAGATAAACAGGCTGCGTTTCAGTGTTAGAGAGGTTCAAGGTGCGTACAAATGGGCTGCTTAGCCCTTAGATTTTGGCTCCCGTGCGGCCCTCGTTCTCCTCCCATCCCACTGAGCGACTGTTTACTTGGCTTCCCAACTGCAGCCGCCTTCCCAAGATGCGGCACCCACAAGCTGCTAATTAAAAGCAGCGCTCTTGTAACCCTAGAAAGAACATCTGATGACAATAGGACACATTCTGCCTGCTATCTGCTTGTTCTGTTTAGATCACAAAGGAGTGAGGAGGAGTATATAAAACAGGCCCATGTGGTGACTTGCCCAGCCTGCCACTACCCAGCTAATACCTAACCCTAAGCATGGAATTGGAATAAAGAGAGATCCAGCATGTGCCCAAGTTCCCCATTCACTTCAATGGAAGATTTTTTCAAGTTAGTGGCTATCCTGTGCCCATTTCTTTGGGAGAAAGCTCTATTGGGTTGTAGCCAATTATTCGTATTCGTGGGATAGCTCAGCCAGTACCACATGAGACTCTTAATTTCAGGGTCGTGGGTTCAAGCCCCACGTTGGGCAAAATTGTCCAGCGTTGCAGGGGGTTGGACTAGATGACCCTCACTCTCCCTTCCAACTCTACAATTCTAAGAATGAATGGACATTACTAACTCAGGTTGAAATTAATGGACTCGACTAACTATAGTTGCATACAATCCTTTGAATGCTAATGGGGTTACTTTTGAGTAGGCAAACAGGCGTGCCTTTCAAGACTGCAATCCTATATACATTGACCCTAGAGTAAATCCTATTGCACTGAAGAGGGCTTGTTTTAGAGCAGACGTGCATAGGGTCACATTGCCAGGGTCTTTCCCAACCATAGTCACTGTTGTAGTGATAGGTTTGTCTTCACAGCCGATCTTAATATACAAAGTCAGGTAGACTCAGGCTTTATAGCTGTACAGTGGTACCTCGGGTTAAGTACTTAATTCATTCCGGAGGTCCGTTCTTAACCTGAAACTGTTCTTAACCTGAAGCACCACTTTAGCTAATGGGGCCTCCTGCTGCTGCCGTGCTGCCGGAGCACGATTTCTGTTCTCATCCTGAAGCAAAGTTCTTAACCCAACGTACTATTTCTGGGTTAGCAGAGTCTGTAACCTGAAGTGTATGTAACCTGAAGCGTATGTAACCCGAGGTACCACTGTAATAGTTTGTGGGTGGTTTTGAGGGCTGGAAATGATTAGCCAAATCCTATGGGGCTATAAAAGAATCTCAGACCTTATAAATGGAAAAGTGAAATAAGATTTAATGTACACCTGAGGATAGGTTGTTTGCTTTCCCCTTAGGATTCAGTACCCACAAACACACCTATTTGCAGTTAGTCTTATCTGTTTTATTTATTTATTTATTGCAATTATTTCGCACCTTTTCCCCAAGCGACTCAAGGCGTCGTCTGTGTTCTCCACCACTCACTATTTTATTCTCCCCAAATCCCTGCATGGCATTCAGCTGAGTTTTACTGAGCCATTGGAATGAATGCAATCTAACCTTGTCATATTCGTTAATTTCCACCGTCTATGTTATGTAAAACTTAGCTGAACACTGCCTTCCTGTGAGGTCAGTTAGGTTGGGAGACAGTTACTGGTCCAAGAGAACTTCATGGGTGAGCCAGGATTTGAACCCTGGTCTCCTGGGTCAGTTAAGTCTACCAGCTCCATCCGGTACGCAGGCTGAGACCCTACCTGCCCGCGGACTGTCTCGCGAGAGTGGTGCATGCTCTGGTTATCACTTGCTTGGATTACTGCAATGCACTCTACGTGGGACTACCTTTGAAGGTGACCCAGAAACTACAACTAATAGAGAATGTGGCAGCTAGACTGGTGACCGAGAGTGGCCTCCGGGACCATATAACTCCGGTCCTAAAGGATCTTCACTGGCTCCCAGTAAGTTTCCAAGCAGAATTCAAAGTGTTGGTGATGGCCTTCAAAGCCCTAAAAGGCCTTGGCCCAGTATACCTGAAGGAGTATCACCACCCCCATCATTCAGTCCAGACACCTCCTCCTAGGGTCTTCTGCTAGTTCCTCACTGTGAGAAGCGAAGTTCCAGGGAACCAGACGGAGGGCCTTCTTGGTAGTGGCACCCTCTCTGTGGAACATGCTTCAGATGTCAAGGAGATAAAGAACTACACAACGTTTAGAAGACCTCTGAAGGCAGCCCTGTTTCAGAAAGTTTTTAATGCTTGGCGTTTTATTGTTTTTATATTTTCCTGGAAGCCGCCCAAAGTGGCTGGGAAAACCCAGCCAGGAGGGTGGGGTAATAATAATAATAATAATAATAATAATAATAATAATAATGGCTTCTGTGGCAGGGTTTCTAAGGTGTGCTGGTTATGTCTGCAAGTGCCCCACTATGCCTTGGATCACACTGAATCATCAAATGGGTACCCCTTGTCCCCCAAGGCTTCCATTGCAAGGTGAAAGTACATTCTTTGGATCAGGATTCAAAGTTGCCAGTGTCAAAGCTAAGCACATCCTTTACAGAAACAAGAAACCATGTTCTACCACCACTGTCAGACTGCCTCTCAATACCACTTGCTGGGAATTGCAGGTGGGCAAAGTGCTGTCATACTCATGTCCTGCTTGTGGGGTCCTTCGGCATCCGGTTGGCCACTGTGAGAAAAGGATGTCGGACTAGATGGGCGACTGGTCTGATCCACAGCCTTGTCTTATCTTCGTGGTGAATTGGAAGTGTGGGGTGGGTAGCACGAGTTTAATTCAAAAATAGATAAATCAATAAATAGTGGCGTGCTTTGAAGGTTTGGCACATTTCCAGACGCAAGAGTCTTACTGGTGAGATGCTGCACATTGAATAGAATCTAAGAGTTGGAGTTCATTGTGTCCAGCCACTGCTCAATGCAGGATCTGCAGTGCAGGAAACAACTACAGCGTCCCTAAAAAACAGCTGCTCACCTTCTGCTTAGATGCCTCCTGTGCTTCATTCTGATGTGACGTCTTCCCCAATTTTTCCATAACTGTATTCTCCATGACTTAAGATGTTGCATGGAGGAAGAGCAGATAGTAAAATGATTTGCACTGGAATGTATTCCTGAATTATAAATTAATCTTCTTATTACCTGAAAATGTTATTTCAGGGTCTTGCCATGACACCTGTGGCAAAAGCTGAAGTGAGATGTTGCTTGTCTCTCGTTTTCTGTGACCACCAGTCCTGCCGATCATTAATCCAATTCTGCTCCCAAGACGCATTAGCACTCCTGCCTTCTTTACTTTCTACACCCACATCTCACATGTGCAGGTTATACTTCCCACGCTGATTGATAATCGAAATGGAGATCACATAGCATGCTTTACTAAACAGCTACAAGCAAAAACAAACTGAAATATATTCATTTTTTTTCCTTTTCTCCCAGGAGAGAGGATACTGTGAAGAAAGCCACGTCAAAAGGAAGACAATAGATGTAAGGAGAAAGGGGTGCAACTTCATTTCAGCTCTCTGTTATCCACCGTGTCTCCCACATAATTTTGATTGCTCAGAAACATATCAGAACCTTCCCCCCCACCTCCAGAAGTTGCAGGAACTCACACCAACTCCAGATCCAGGCCAATGTTTCAGCCCTCTTCCCACTGGACTGCAGTAGCATAGCCCTGTGTTAATAACTAACAAAATGGCATCCTATTGACTTAAGAAGAGGAGTTTGGATTTGATATCCCGCTTTATCACTACCCAAAGGAGTCTCAAAGCGGCTAACATTCTCCTTTCCCTTCCTCCCCCACAACAAACACAACGTGACATGAGTGGGGCTGAAGAGACTTCAAAGAAGTGTGACTAGCCCAAGGTCACCCAGCAGCTGCATGCAGAGGAGCGGAGACGCGAACCCGGTTCACCAGATTACGAGTCTGCCACTCTTAACCACTACACCACACTGGCTCTTAAGCCCTTCTCGTGCACAGATTTCTATAGAACAGGCCACCAGCAGATATATCTCAAGAGTAAGCTGGTCTTTCATTAGGGAACGCCAAGATTCCCTACTCTGACCTTTTGTATGGTGGGCTTTCTTTAAAATAGTGTCTCATTTAGTATGGTAGTATTTCTTTACTGCCCCAAATCTGAGACTTTTACTTCCAATGAGTTTCCAGATCTTCCCAAATCAGGGCGTATTCAGAAGAACGGTTTGCCAGCTGAAACCTTCAGGGGAGAGTCACCTTGCAATGACTTTGCTATATTGAAAATAAAGAAGAAAATTGGATAGAATTATGTAATGGTAGTGCCCTGGTTCTCAGTATTATTTCAAGAAGACATATGGAGTGGGCAAGGAATACCAATAACAGGGGGGAAGATGTCATATTTTTGCATTGTGATAACTGTAAACTATTTTCAAATCATCACACTTTTTAGCAGAAGAGAACAGGACAAAAATCATTTCAGGGTTTCCCCAAGACTTCCCCACAAACTCATGCATGCATATACCACCTGCTAATTCATCACAAATTATTAGAACGCTGGCATTATTAAAATTATTTTTGCTTTGAAGAAAAAAAACCCCAGTGTAAATTCTGGTTGAATGGATTTTGTTTAATCTTTGACCTTTGTTTTCACTCAAAATACAGATCAACTTCACATTCTTATTGGCATGGAACTGGAGAGGCCGAAGGGCATAAACAGGAGCAGTTTAATGAATTTCTAAGAAGCCTGCTTTTTAAAAAATAAAAGAACAACAATAATATATTGGTAAGAAGGTTTAAAACTATGATAATCAGGCCACATCACAAGAATATAGACTTGTAAAACATTACCAGCAACAGAAGGCTTTCCAAACCATCTCTTTTTTTTAAAAAAAAAAATTGCCCTGGAGAGCCCCACATTTTTGGGGTACCATTCAGTGTGACTATTACTCATTTTCTCGGCAGACACTCTGTCGTGTTCCAAGCCTGCTTGCCTCATCTTTTCTCAACTTGCAAGGAGAGCGATTTCACTTGGGTGTGTCGGCAACGCCGTTGAATATCCACATTGGTTTTGCAATGCCAGAGCACGCTTTGAAATCTTCCTGAACCTTCAGATTGGCTCAGCCATAAGGAGTGAATGCTAATTTATGGGAAGGTATGGACTAACCAGGAAATCAGGTCACAGGTACATGTCAAAGTTGGCAGGTGACAGTGGGGGGAGGAAAACCTGTGTTGCGCCAGGAGATCAGGAGATCTTGGTTGCTGTTTAAATTGGGGAAGGGGAAGAAAACCTCCTCCCTATTTTAAAACCAGCTAGAAAAGTGTTGCCGGCTGGCGAGAAAATGATTCATAGGAGGCTGCAACAGGGCGCTGCTGCTTTGGGGGACTGTATCTGCATAAACATGCCTCGACAGAGCAGGGTTTGCTCCTGCCCGCTTTGGATATTTTGTAAACGAACAGATCGTTCTGTCTGGGGTTGTTTTTTTTTTTTTAATCCAATGTAAATCCTTAATACTCCTTTTGTCCTTGCTTGGAAACTTGACAGCAAAGCTTACCCTGGGGCTCCCTACCACTCGTGGAAATGCAAGGCATGAAACATTAGACAAGAATGAATGAAAGAAA